CCGCAGCCAGGATAAAGGACGAACCGCAGCTCGTATAGAAACGTTTGATCGCAACCAAACGGTGGACTGCAGCCCAAGAGAATGTCATCTGACCGCAGCCAGGAATACCAATCTGACCGCAGCCAGCTTCTGAACCGCAGCTCAGGATAACCAATCCGATCGCAACCGAATTGGGGTAGCACACACACGTAACACATAGCAAGCACATACAACCCACGTTACACATCGGGAAGGGGGATAAAGCGTATAACAAACCTATGCGTGATCCATCACTTACTAAGAATAGTCCTAAGGGGTTCATACTTCCTTCACCTAGGTCAACGGGATACCAATTCATCTAGCATGCAATACAACAGACTCATAAACCTGCGAACGGTACCCGACACATTAAACTAGACATAGGCACGATAAACGCAGTCCGTTGGGACACCACAGGGATCGGGGAAACATCAAACGGGGAAGCCGAGGTCCCGGGTGGGGTGAGATTCCAGCGGGTAGCCGGTGGGTAGGGGTCCACCCGCCGGCTGTCACTGTTCCGGGCAGCGGGTGCCCGGCGGGCAGCTGCCCGCTGCCGGAGCTACCCGAGATTGCCGCGGGTAGGTGGCTGGTCCCCTACCCCCACCTATCCCCCACTGACTCTTTTCATCACTTTTCGCCCCGGGAACCGTTGTGGAACCCGAAACCATGCTTAGACACTTTTCAACGTAATTAACGACAACACATAGACAATTAACGGATCAAATACGATAGACGAACGGCACATAACCTAACATGCTTTTCTAATCATAATCAACACCCAAACATGCGATTTCCCACCCGATAATCCAAGAATCAAAGCACACGGTACAACCTAGGGTTCTAATCACTTTTATATCAACAAGAATACGATTCGTCTTCTAATTGCAAGATTCGGTAGGAACAACACATAATCATCAAGGATAGCAATTAATCATCAAGAACATCATAATCATCAAGAACAACACATAATCATCAAGAATCCCAATTAATCATCAAGAACATCACAATTATCAAGAAACTCCCAATATCAAGATTATCAAGATTCCCCATGGAATCATTAAATCAACATCAATAATAATCATAGTAATTCGTCATTCACAATCATACGGGGGAAACCCCAAGGGGAAATCATAGCTATGAAAATAGGTTTTGTTGAGACATGGGTTACCTCTTAGCCTTAATTAATTCCTTGGCTATGAAGGATCTTTCTTTAAGCTTCCTTGCTTTCTTGATTTCTCCTAAGGGGATTCTTGGAGCTCTTTTGGGGGTGGTGGGGCGTTATTCTTGTGGGGGGTTCTAGGTGCCTCTTAAGTCCCCTATTTATATATTTAGGAGTCCTGGTTAGGAACTAATATTATAGGCTTTCTAATTCTATTCCTTTTGGAACTAAGGATTGGGTTTAGGGATAAGGGTCCATGGCCCATAGTGGACCATATTAATTAATTAAAGGGAATCCTAATCGTAGTCTGAATAGTAAAAGGCCTACTTCCTTTATTCCTAATAAATAACTAGGTCTAGGATTCCTAATTAGAATCTGAATAGTAAAGGGTTTACTTTCGTTATTCCTAATAGGCTTAGGACTCTAATTTAGGCAAGGGTCCACGGTTGAAGGCCGTAACACGGGGTGTTACAAGTACACTGGACTTCAAGCTATCATAATCTCCATTTAATCCTTGCAAAAAGAGAATTACCTGATCCAACTTTCTCTCGTTTCTGATGACTTCTACGAGATCACATGAGCATTTTGGAGTGCATTTGCAGAGAGGAATTGGCCTCATGTTATTCATTTGCTCCCACAAGGTTCTGCTCTTAGTGTAATACTCGTTAACAGAGAGAGTTCCCTGTTTAAGGTTGTGGATCTCACTCTGTAGGCTAGAAATGCGTTGTGCATCCCTCTGTGAGAAGCGTCTGCGCAGATCCTCCCAAATATCTCTCTGTTTATCAAAGTGCATAACACTTTGCAATGTAGATGGATGAAGCGATCTGTAGATCCAGGAGCAGATCATCAAACTTGTAACACCCCGAAATTTTGAAACTTTTAAAACTTATATAATAAAGGTAAATTCTCAGTAAGTCCCAAAATAGAGTATTATTAAACATAAGGGTGCGGGGTGCTATGCCACATCTGAGCTGGAGAACTCAGATGCACAGGCTAAACTAACTAATTATTCTCGATACATCATTGAGGCACGCAGGCCAAAAAGGAAAACTATCTATCAACTCCAAGCTCTTCTAGCGCGCTCGGGGAACTAATCCGCTGTGCCTAAAAGCCAAATATATCTGTTCAGCGAATGATGCCGGTAACCCACTCCAACGCGTTGAAATACATTATAGATAGATATATATAGATATACGAAAATCATTATGAAGCAGGAAGATATATACTTAAGAGACACTAGTTTTTAAAACGGGAATAGACTCAGCAAGTAGGGACAAGCACATCAAACCATGATAAGCAGTTAAGTAGAGATAACATCATAAGGAATACGCATCTAAGGTCATAGAACACTTTTCAATTCAAACACATTATCACTCACTCACCATTCATATCACATAATCGTTGATGGGGCCACGGGACCAATCGCATGCACTGAACATGAGGGTTAATGCTTATAGCATTAACACGGCCCCGCAGCACCCTACCTCAGTACCGTGGCACGAGGGGAGTTGATCGCAACCAACCCTTTGAGAACCGCTGACGAACTCAACGTCAGACCACGATCCGACACACAGCTGACGCGCCCAGTCGGTGGGCCGCGATCCCCTTTACAAGGGGGGACTTACGACCCTACACACCGTTGATGCACACAATCGGTGTACCGTAGCGGATCAAGCCCGACACACTGCTGAGCTAAACTCAGTCGGTGGGCAAAGATCCTCGGAGACTACGGTCCTACATACCGATGTCCCATCACTCGGTGGGTCGCAGCCAGCAATAGCCCTACACACCGCCTGATTACTCAGGTCGGTGGACTATAGCCTTCCTCGGCTTGTTGGCCCTACGCACCGCCTAGCGCGTCCAGGTCGGTGGGTCATATCACCGAGGCCCATGTGGACCTTCAGTCCTATATAATCTTTATATACCGGACCGGTCTCTACCAACCTGGTTAACAGTTGGGATGGTTCTCAGCCCATTCAATTGCCCGTATAGTGGACCTTCAGTCCTATATAATATTTATATACCTGACCGATCTTAACCGACCTGGTTAACAGTTGGGATGGTTCTCAGCCCATTCAACTGCCCGTATAGCCCACTTGATTTTAACCAAGTTGGGGGATCATGCATCACATAACACACAATAGAACATAATAACACATAATAGAACATAGGGAAGGGGAGACATATAATTAAGCTTACATGTGATCATTCACATACTAAGAATCGTCCTAAGGGGCTCATACGACCTCCACCTAGGTCAACGGGTTACCGATTCAACTAGCATGCAATTCCTAAGATTCACTTATCCTACGAACGGTACCCGAAACATCAAACTAGACTCAGGCACGACAAACGGGGTCCTGTGGGACACCACGGGGGATGGGGGACATCAAACGGGGAAGCCGGGGACCCGGGATGGGTCATTGACCAGCGGATAGCCGGTGGGTGAGGGATCACCCGCCGGCTGCCCGCCGGAGATCACTGCCCGGCAGCGGGTTGCCGGCGGGTGGACGCCTGCCCAGCGCTTGCCCGCTGCCCGGCGGTGATCTTCGGGCAACGGGTAGATGGCGGGTACCCCTACCCCCACCTACCCCCCACTGACTCATTCATCACAAATTCGTCCCGGGATCCTTTGTGGAACCCGAAACCATGCTTAGACACTTTTAAACGCAATTAACGACACCACGTAGTAAATTAATGGATCAAAAGCAAGAATCACGTATAACTCATCCTATTACGACTTCTAAACATAAACAACACCCGAACATGCGAATTCGCGCCCGATATATATCAAGAACATTATATCACAAATTCCCAATCCATCCTAGGGCTCTAATCCCTCCCAAATCATCAAACTCATAATTTATCTTTAACATCAAGAACTATCAAGATTTGTCAAGAATCATTACATCAATATCAAGAACCTATTTTCATCATCAAGATCATCAAGATTATCAAGAATACACACAAATCATCTTATCAATCATCAAGAATATATCACGATAGCATAGAGGTATAAATCAATATACAAGCATATAGAAGGAGGCCAAGGAAGGAGATTATAGCGAAGAAAATAGGTTTTGTTGAGACATGGGTTACCTTTTAGCCATAATTAATCCTCCTTTGGCTATTAAGGTTCGTCCTTAAGATTTCCATCTGTTTGATCTCCCTAGGCTTGTTGGTGGGGAGTCCCTTGGGAATTCTTGTGTGGTGATATCTAATGTGGCGTGACTTCTAGGTGCCTCCTATGTCCATATATATATATATACATATATATATATATATATATATCTAGGAGTCCTAATTAAGGTCTTAATGGTATGGGTTTACTAATTCTATTCCTTATGGGACTAAGGGCTTGGTTTAGTGATAAGGGTCTATGGTCCATGGTGGACCATATTAATTAATTAAAGGGAATCCCAATCATAATCTGAATAGTAAAGGCCTACTTTCTTCATTCCTAATAGATAATTAGGTCTATGACCCCTAATTAGAATCTGATTAGTAAAAAGGTTTACTCTCTTTATTCCTAATAGGCTTAAGACTCTAGTTTAGGCAAGGGTCCACGATCCATGGTGGACCATATTAATTAATTAAAGGGAATCCTAGCCAAATTACTCCCATCGATCAACGATCATTTGTTTTTAACCTCTAGTGCAATCTGCATGGAGAAGCTCCAAGTGCTGTAGTTTGAGCTCCCTGTCAATGGAGGAGTCACAAGGATCACCGTTGGACTGTCATTGGCGCTGAAGGAAATACGATCCTCTAGATCCCCGGTATTGAAACTTCGTTGACTCTGAGGTGGTGTGTTCCGTTGCGGAACATTCTCCAGTGTTGCGATATAAGTCTGATCAACCGACGTGGTGATGTGGCTAGGTTCGCTGGTGACAGCGACGACATAGGTCCGCCCTTGCTCTGATACCATATCGGAAACTTCATATTTGGATTTGAGAGGGAAAGGAAGAAGAACGTGAGTTCATTATTCTATTGTGATCGGATTGATACAAAATAAGAAGCAATATATATACAGAAGGGTAGTTATAACTGCCCAAGTGAGGAAAGACAAAACAACCCCTATTCTACTCGTACAGTATGAAAGAAAAGAACTAACTAGATATCACCATCTTAATAGCAACATTCACAAAATATGTATATCTCTTGCATCTTTCTCTCTCTAAAAAAAAACAATGTATATCTCATGCATGATACACTAAGATTGGAACTGTATTAATTACTAACTGAAACTATAGTTTATCTAAACTGACACTGCCTCACGTATTATTTTTATATTATCAAATGCAACTGCAACGTATATAAAATGAAACTGAATAACATTTCACATATTTGAGTGTATATTGTGCAATGAAACTGTAGTTATATCAAAACGGTAATGTAGTTGTGTTTTATTGAAAATAGTGTATATAAAATAAAACTAAAATGTATACAAAATAAAACTAAATAACAGATGTACTTTTTATGGAACGGCGCAAAACGGGTGCCGTTTTATTTCATAAAAAAAAAGGACGTCGTTTAGAAATATAAATTGTTCCCTTTATTTGTTTCATTTGTATTTGTTATTTTGTTTAATGCTTATATTTAAAGTTTGATTATTCAATATAAATTATACCATTTTAAAGATCTCATTGAGACGATCCAGGCAAAACTAATATTGAATATATATTACAATTTCAAATACATTAAACATAACTACAACATAATAAAAATAAAAATTTACGTACATCACAAGTTATATTTTATATTAAACTAATCAACTTCGAGCTAGAATTATATTAAACTAATTAAATTTGAATTAATAATTGAGAAATCAAATTATTTTAGTATATAAATTTTGTGTTTTAGTGTAATGGGTTGGAGATGAATAAAATTTGATGTGAGAATATGCTGAGAATATTCTTTTTGATGTGACATTTGGTGGAAAAATTTGGTGTTTTGGTGTAGTGTAGGTTGGAGATGCTATAAAATGTTCAAATAAGATGTCCCAACTTCACCTCATTAACTCTTTAAGATGTTACATGGCCATAAATGCATGTAAGATTGTCATGTGTTCTTTGCTTTTTTAGCATGTACTATCACCCAAAATTGAAAGGTATAAATATAATTTCTAGAAACAAAAAAATTCATGTGTTTATACGTTGGATCATAGGATAATTTACACCAACAATTGTATGGAGTATAATATTTGTAGCCCTATGTATAACTAAATAAGTATTGGAACAGCGGCCTCCCGGGGTCCTAAACCGGTCGGGGCTTATTGGTTGATTCCGTCATCGGGGTCGGAACAGCCTCCTCCCGTGCAGCAATTGTGCATGGAAGGGTCGGCGTCGTCGGATGATTCCCAGGGGGATGTTCGTATGGTTCCGACTGAGCGTGATTCGGAGGAAGGTGTTGTGGCTTCGACCAATGCGGCGAAGAGGGCTTATGGTGGGCGGTGATGGGGATGTCTCGCCGGTGGTTGGGGTGGTAAATGATAGCGGTGTTTCAAAAAACTTGCAGATGGCGGGTTTTGGTTCCCAGGCCCGCCCGACCCAATGAGTACGTTAAGTTGGAACTGTCGTGGCTTAGGCAATCCATGAACAGTTCGAGAGGTGGTGGACATGGTGTCTAGTAAGAAGCCCGACTTCGTGTTCCTGATGGAAACGAAGTTGAATCATGATCATGCCGAACGGTTGCGAGTCAAGCTTGTTTTTGAGGGACTATTTTATGTTGATAGTGCATGTCTGAGTGGGGGATTTGTGTTGTTATGGAGAAAGAATAATACGACGCGTCTGATCAGTTTTCCTAAGAACCGTGTAGATGACGAGGTAACTATTGATGATTTGGCCCCTTGGAGGATGACGTGTTATTATGGTTTCCCGCAGAGGAGTCGGAGGCGGGAGGCATGGAATTTTTTGAGAATGCTAGCTGGCCGATCTGAGCTTCCGTGGGTGGTTATTGGTGATTTTAATGATCTTTTGCTTCAGTCAGAGAAGCGGGGTCGGGTCCCTCACCCTGAGGGCCTGCTCCACGGCTTTGGCGAGACCTTAGATGAGTGCGGTCTGGTTCAGTTGCCCACGGAAGGCTATCCGTTTTCCTGGGAACGGAGTAGTGGGACAGAGGATTGGGTGGAGGAGAGGTTGGATAGAGTGGTGGCTAGTAGTGATTCCCTAGGACTACATTCTTTGATGCTACATTGGGCAATAACCCTAGTTAGTCTTGGATGAGCATAATGGCTGCTCATGCCCGTATTTGCACTGGGATGAGGAGAAGAATTGGGAATGGTGAGTGTATTCTAATATGGTAACATCCGTGGCTTCTTGGTCCCGACCCTATGATCACCACCACCGCACCACATCAACTGGCTAATTCAAAAGTTGTGGGTTTAATTGACCAGGATACTCATACTTTGGACTTGGCTATTTTAGAAGACATTTTTGAGCCAGGTGATGTGGATAAAATTAAGAGAGTGCTTGTGTGCCCGTCTTATGAGGATTCTTGGTATTGGCACAAGGATGTTAGTGGTTTGTACTCAGTTAAAAGTGGTTATAGACTCCTCACAGGTGAATACACCTCTGACCCTACCATATTTGATAAATGGTCCGCAATGTGGAAATTAAAAGTCCCCCCCCAAGTGGAAGAGCTTCCTGTGGAGAGCTTTAAGTGTTATCCTCCCTACTACCACTAATCTCCTTCATGCTCAATGCGTGTTACTTATCGTGAAGATGTTATGTGCTCTCTTGTTAATTGCTTGCCATTATGCTAGTCTTGTTTGGGATGTTTCCCACCTTCTGATCTCAAGTGTGGTTGGAGGTATTTTACAGAATGGTTTCGGAATGCTATGTGTATATTAACGCCAGATGTTCTTGTTAAAGTGGTTGCAGTGCTTTATCATATTTGGAATTCCAGGAACAATGCGGTTTGGGACGCATGCATGAAGCCTCTACGGCATGTTGTATCACAAGCTATAAATGCCTACGCTTCTTGGGAGGCGTCGAATCTGCCGCCACCTGCCATGTCGCTGCTGCAGCAAGTCCTGCCACATCCCCCAACCGGAGCTCGTTGTTGCTACTTCGATGCCGCTTTCAATCAGGACACGGGAGCAGCTGCATACAGGGTAGCTCCCTTCTCCGCGCCGCAACGGTGTTCTGTCACCATGCTCCGACGCTCTCACGGCCGAGGGCTTGGCTTGCAAGGAAGCGTTGTCCTGGCTTAGGCCCCGAACAGCTCAAGACGTGGCTATTTATACTGATTGCGGGTTTCCCTTTCTGCAATTATATTAAAATTTTTTTGTTGTTTGCAAAGTATTACACAAGTGTGAACTTACACAACATGTACTCTTAAATAGTGATTGCGGGTTTCCTACCTGGAGGGTATACATAGGCAAACTCTTACTCCTATATGATAGTGTGCAAATTACATAAGAGAGGTAAATCGCACAAGGAATATCGTGTACGTGCCAGAACACATGCCCGGTACTCATGCATAATAGCTCACAAACTACACAGGAAAAATATAATAAATCGCACTAGCATGAAGACTCAGTACGATGGACTTAACCAAAAAGTGTTGGAAAGAATCAAACTCGTACCTTTTTAATACAACAATATAGTCATGTGTTCTTTACTCACTCGACCACATTTTTCACAGCAAAGCAGACACTATTGATCTTATTACATATATTTGTCATTCTATCACCTACAAAGAATTACAAACTCAAAGAGACAACGAGAGAAAGAGAGAGATGGTATCACGAAGACTCCGAAGGAGGGTGGCATCATGCAGAATGCTTCAGATTCTACAAACCCTTTCCAAGTCCAAATCAGTAAATCCAAATCTCTGTCTATAGTGCATCTCTAATAAATATTCTCTAATTAATTTCTTTCTTTGATCTTAATTGTTTGTAATGAAGGTCAAAAAGAGCAGTGCCATCATGCATGTTCTTACTTGCATCCTCAAGATGAAACTGCATATAGAAGCAATCACAAGACAATATCAATACCACTACAAAAATAATATCCAAGTAATTCATCTCATCTCTTCCATTTCTCTCTCCAGCTAATCTCTTTTGCCATGCCCAGACGAGCTTAGCTCAATAGTTCACTAGGCAGTATTTAGAGAAGAGACCAAGGTTTGAACCTCGACGGTGACATTGTGGAATTATGCTCAAAGCATGGTCCCATTGAGCTTCACTCTGCGCAAGCTACAGAAAAGAAGAAAGCACTGTCAATTAATCATAAACTGCTAAGAGCCATCTACATGAATTATTTAAATCTGCATTATGTTCAATTAATTTACCTGACATTCTAACAAAGCTTTCCTGAGACAGGTCTGTCCCTCTCCCACTTCCTCTCTGATATGCACATTTTACACTCATATTTTAGGTACATCTTTATAATAATTTTGCATTGGTTATTTAATATTATCTAATAATTAATTCTTTTTATATGTAATATATAATATATAATATATAATATATTTATACATATTACGTACTATCTAATATAGATATATATGTATTTGTCACGTAACATATATATGCTTTATATATTTATATATATTATTTAATGAATTTCCAACTCATATCTACCTAACATGCATGCAAGTAATATATTAAATGTTGGGGTAAGTAATATATTAAATGGTAATTGCAATTGTTAGAAATTGTGGTTCAAGTTCATCCATGAAGACCATTTCTCCATGTTGGCATCTTCCTCTCATGCAACACCCACGTAGCAATCGACGCATCAAGCTCCACTTCATGCCGCAATTGTCTCCATTTTGTCTCCACACAATTACCACTTCTTTTGCTTCTTTATTTGTATAAATAACGTTGTTAATTTCCTTTGTAAGGCATCCCATTTTTTACATCAATTCAATTTCATTTGGGTTCATTCTTCCCTCCTCTATAGTATTCGTTGAAGTTGTTATCAATGTCCATTTGTGGCTAATTTCTAGTTGGTTTAGTGAATTGAAGCCCCGGAGTTCATAACGCTGTAAGGTTATTTATTTAACTTTATTATATATATGTTTTTATGCATTTTGAGTATTAAATATTCTTCTAAATTATTTGAATAGTTGTATCATTTAATAGCTAGGGAGGCCTACTAGTTATTTATTTGATATAATTATTTGCTATATTAGATAATGTTGTGCTACAAATTATTCTAATATTCAGTAGCAACTGAGGTTAATTATTGACGGCTTAGTGATAATTGGTCTCGCGTAGAATATTTTCCTAAATTAAATGCAACCGCTTGTGCTTGTGTTATTTAGTTTGTTGGTTTTCATAGTTCCTATTGTTGCTATTAAATTAAATCTATAGCGCTTGTCTTAGATTATTTAGTAGTTAGGGGTAATTAAACCGCTTGTGCTTTATTTACCTACAACTAAGGGAAAACAGAAATGAAATAATTTCACGACAAATATTCAATTGCATATTAATTACTTTATTAATCAATGATCAGTGTTAAATTCCGGTGGTGGATCTTTACTAACCAAGGTCTCCTATTATAAATGTTTTCGATATATTATTTTCATAGCTTTATTCGTTCAATTAAATTTCTTGTTTATTTAAATTCTCTTTTATTTTATCTTTATTCTCGATATATTCCAACCCCCCCCCCCCCCTACCTTTAATTTGAGCACAAAAGTTAGACTAGTTACTCCTCGTGAGATCGATCCTTACTCCCGCTACTACGTTTGTAAGGTTTTAATTTGGAAGCCTACGACAGCTCACCACTCTCCCACCTCATCTCACTCTCCCTCTCACAGCAGTCGATGGTCTTCCTCTTCCTCCAACAGCAAAAGAACGATCGCTCTTCCTCTAACAGTAGAAGAACCAGCAAATTCTGCTTGTTGGGTTTACAATGTAGGACAAAATCGTTTGTTATGTCCATTTCCCTTGCATAATTGACATGTCATAATTCTTCCTTTTTTAGACAACTTTTTAACTCTGCACTCATTTTTTGCTTGTTTTTTCATTTTCTTCAAGCTTTCTTTTTTTTTTCTTTGGCCTACCAGTCATCTTCCTTGAAACAGTAGCAAGTATTTCATCACTTTCAGTCCTTGGCAAAATGATTTCCTCATTCAATGGCTAGTAAAACTTAATTAGAAGAAAACATTATATTCCAGTTTTGTATTAATTAATTAATAAACTAATGGTCTAATACCTAATTTCATATATGAATGCAGAACTGTAAACACTTTTAATTTATGTATTGTTTTCCACTTTTCTAACACTATGTCCTTATCTTTTCAAATCAAAGAAGCTTAGTTGGACCTATTGTATCAAAAGCATACACATTTGTATTCACAGCAACCGTACGCATCATATATATTATGCGCAGCAATAGTACAATATATATAATTCATAGAAAAGAGAAAAATTTATACATTATATATATTATGTACAGCAACAGTACACACACACACACACATGCACACATACACACACACACACACACGCAGCAATAGTACAATCAACTACATCATTTTGTTACGGTATTCGTGTGGCAGAAAATTGGGGATGAATCCCATGTGAATTGCAATAAAATCGAATTACACTGTTTACAAATTTGGTTCCCTGATCGGTTCGAATTGTTGCAATCTTCATGTCATTCTCGACTTGTAGTTGCTTTAGTAGCTCCGGTAACTTTGATTCAACTTCATTCTTTTTCTTCATAAATATTGTCCACGTGTACCTGGAAAAATCATCAACAACAACCACAGTGTATTTCTTACCACTTAGGCTTACCGGGTCTATTGGACTGAACAAATCCATGGGTAGTAGACTAAGGGGTCTTGATGTTGATTCTTGAGCTTTGGATACGAAAGATGCTTTGATTTGTTTACCTTTCTAGCATACATCGCAAATTTGATCTTTCTTCAACTAGCTTACTTCTTGCAAGCTTATTGACGGTTTTGAAATTCAATTGATTTAGCCTTCTATGCCATTCCCAACTTGCGTCGATTGAATTTCTCACCACCAAACATACGGATTCCTTCATTGTACTCCATTCAACAACGTACATATTTTTCTTTCTCAATTCGGCGAGTACGACTTCTTTCGTAGATTCGTCTTTGACTGATGATGCACGTCTCGTGCTGTAACACCCCTTAATTTCCATGCTATTTAAAGCCTTAAACATGCAGATATCTAAACCAAAACATCAAACACAGCGGAAGACTGAAAGAGAAATATATAGACTGGAAGTAAAAGGGGTGCTTTGCCACGCTCACCCAGAAGTGAACGCACAGGCTAACATCTACATTGTTCAACATCTAAAAATCGACATATTCAAAGTACTAAGTCTATACTGGCTCACAGGCCACAAAACATAGGAAAGGAGCTACATCAGCTGGCACTAAACCGCGCTCTCGTCTAAACATCGCCTGAAAGAAACACATAAAAGATGGGATGACGCCCGGCCAGCGAATAATCCTGGTAACCCACCAATACATGTGAAATATCATACATAGATAAGATATATGTTTGTAAAATCATTTGCGAAACGGAATACATATATATAAGTTCAAAACCAAGAATAAAGGTCAACACAAGACTCAAAGCACTCACAACAAGATAAGGGAACACATCCCAAGACCACAAAGTACAACAACAACTCACAAGAACGGCTCAAGGTATAATCTATCATCACACAATAGATTAACACCCGACAAGCACAACTCAAAAGAATAAGGACACGACCAATGGCAACACTTGCCAAGGCAACACATGCCTTTGTGACTACACACGTCACAAAAAGAGAACTCACAACAACGGCTACACAAGCCCTCGTGACATCACCCATCACGAGTTGATATGCCTTCCTTATGGCCGGTTCCAACCTTATGGCTACCCCCAACCTTATGTCTAGTTCCAACCTTTACCTCCAGGACCCCTGTACACCAAGTCCAACCTTATTCCTCCGAGGACTGTCGTCCCCTCTCCAACAGATCTCCAACCGAACCACCGATTTCATAGTACACGAGGGTACCGATCACACACACGGCAACACATGCCTCCCAAGA